TCTAATTTATTATTGTCGATACTCTTTAAATTTATACTGCACTAAGTTTAGAAAAATTAAAGTAATATTATCATAATATTAAAAATGCAAAAAATGTTGGCATCAAAGTTTTAAAGCTTAGATTCTTTCTAGTTCATCATTTTTAGTAAATATCTTAACCAATTTTACTTTGACCATTTTTTAAATGAGAAATTAATAATCACAAAATATTATTAAGAATAAATAACTCTATACAAAAAGGTAAAAAAATAAAAATTTAAATTTAAATAATTTATTTTTGTCTAAATTAAAATTAAGAAAACAATACAATCGTATATATAAGTATTACAGAAGATAGAAGAGCAAAATGGGAAATTTATGCTTAAAGTCGAAGTCCATGAAATTTTGAAAGATGGAGGTGTATCTGAAATTATCAATTTGCTCATTAATTTTAACCAAAACATGTGTACAACAAAAAAAAAAAAAAAAAAAAAAAAAAAAAAAAAAAAAAAAAAAAAAACCAATTGACGTGGTTAAAAGTGTACAAGTAAAAAATATAGAATCTCAAGGTTAAAATGTACATACACATGATGATCACGTTCCATACAATATTGTATTTTATCAATTGTTTTTTCTTTCAAAAAAGGCATTTCAAAGTAATCATAACATCATATAATTATTTTCTAGAAAATGCAAATTTTGATAATAAATGAGCATGCTTGAAATGGGAGGGCCCGATGGACTGATCTCGTGAAGAATTCTTGAACTTAATTCTAAGTGATATAGGATCTATTTACTACTAAAAAACAGAGTTTCAGGCATGAATTTTCCATTCATAAAGCCTCAATATCCGTTGTTAATAATTTTCACCAAGGGAATATTTGCAACCACAAATCCGTTGGTAATTTGAGGGTAGCTAATAGTTACTAACGGATCATGCCGTAGGTAAAGAGTAAGCATTTTACCAACGAATTTTTCATTGGTAAAGTGTGAATCTTTTACCAACGGAATTTTCGTTAATAAATGTCAACCATTACAATTGGTAAAAATCAATGTTGTAAATAACCGTATGGTAAAAAAGTCATTTATTTATTTATTTATTTATTATTATTATTATTATTATTATTATTTAATAATTATAATATTTTTATTTTTATTTTTATTTTTAGCCAACTGAATTGAAAGGCCAAAATATTGTTTAACTCATTATTGGACCACAAATTTATAAAGGGCAACTACAAAGATATTGTTGTAAACTTCCGATGTGGGATAAGTGAATTATTTTTATCAACGGATAATCCGTTTCTCACTACCAACGGAATATCCGATGCTGAAAGATCAAAATGTTAAATGGTTATATTAAACACGGAATATCTGTTGGTAAAGAGATATCATTTTTACTAATGGATAATCCATTTCTAATTACCAACGGAATATCCGTAAGTAAAAAATCAAAATGTTAAACGATTGTATTAGGCACGAAATATCCGTTGATAAAGAAATATCATCTTTACCAACGAAAAATCCATTGCTGATTATTGTAGCTAAAAGTGAATTACTTTTACCAACGAATAATCCGTTTTTAATTACATCCATTGGTAATATTCAGTACATCGCTATGGATGGTAATATTCAGTACATCGCTTACGGAATATCCATTGGAGGAAGATCCAAATGTTAAACGATTACATTAGGCACGGAATATCGGTTGGTAAAGAGATATCATCTTTACCAACGGAAAATCCATTGTTAATTATCGTAGCTAAAAGTGAATTACTTTTATCAACGGATAATTCGTTTTTAATCACCAACGGATTGCATCCGTTAGTAATTTTTCGTAGATTAAAAGTTTTTTTTTAGTAGTGATTGTATTATAGTTTCATAAGTTATACCTTTTAGACAAAGTGGTGACAATACTCTATATTAGTTGGCATTAGAGCTAGACATTATGTGCTGTAGTCGACTCTAGAACCGTGGAGGGTGGATAACATACAAACATTCTTGGAACTGGACAATACCCTTTGTCATATGTGCATTTGCATTGCAAACATTAGGGATGAAGTGGAGTTTGATTTTTGGAAAAAAAAAAAATATAAAAAAAAAAAAAAAAAAACTACTTTATATACAAATCTTGAGAAAAGAGTTGAATTGAGAAAGATAAAATATTGTCAAGCAAAAAATTCCTTAATACATGTATCATGAACTTTTATGTATTTAAATAGTTATTAGATCATATGTTGTTAGTAACTAAAGAATCTTAAATTAAACTATTATTTTATACATTTAACGAGGTTATTAGTTTAGTATATTGGCCTGAATCAAGACTAGTGAATTTTATTATTTAAGCTATATTATAAATTTATCGAACATTCATTTATTGAAGTTTTAGAGTAGCTAACTTTAATGGCTTAGAACTACTTTATTATTAAAAAGGAAAAAATAAATAGGGTTGTTCTCACTCAATTTAATGAATTTTAAAAATTTATAAAAATCTTAAGTATCCTCCTCAAATTTTAATAAATTCCATGAAAAGTAATGCTCCTTAACTTAGATTTTATTACATTCCATTAAAATATAGATTTTTCCAATAATTATTTATAAGGATTCCATAAATTAAAAGCATTTAATATAATTTAATAATATTTGAACCCATGAGTATAAATGTCAAGCTCTTTACAAATTACACCATCACCCCTCACATTTTAGTAGATTTCGAACCCAATAATAAAAAAAAAATTAAATTTAATTAAAATTTTAAGAGTAAAAATAATAATAATGAATATCTCATTTTCAATTCTTACTCCGAGATTCAAAGTGGGAGAGAAAATTATATGCGGAATTGAGTTCTCGTTCTTATTAAAATTAGGGTCAATCTTTTATTTTGGGCGACTAAGGACAAAAAAAAAAGTCTGTTATGCTATATATTTTTTATGAATGTCAACTAACTATCGTAAATAAATTACTTCTGATTATTCAATCATTTAATCACTAGAGCCATTATTTGATAAATGATCACTATGAGTCAAACTCAATAGAATTTGACCAATCATTTTTTAGAACAAGGAAAACCCACGAGCCTCATCAATGAATAACTCAAGTCAGTGAAACACAGGAGCTTCCTCAATAATAACTCAAGTCAATCCCATTATGACACTGTGTAATATATTATATGTATATTATTCGGTAATAGTTGTCCATAACTTACTTGAATTATAAATAATGACATTTGTAGTCGCTTATTATCGCAGTCATTCTATATGACATATATATAGCGGTTAGTGATTTGATACAAGCCGTCACATGTATGTCACGTATGACGATTACGGTAATGAGCAACATATTGAGTAACTTAACTAAGATTATGTTAGCCCACATAAAATATACTAACAGAATTTGCTCGGATCAGAGTGACCCAAAAACCTTTTTTTGGGTGTTTTAGTAAAATTTATATTGAGCACGAGAACCATATTAAATGTCATGTATCAACATTCTTTATAACTACAAACAACTAGGCGAAGAAGTTGCAGTAGTAAATTAAGGATTTGGCAATCATTTATTACTACATTCAATGATGTATTGCTCATGTTTTCAATCACCTGTTATTTATTTATTTATTTTATCTTAATCACAAACTTCTTTTGAACTATTTTTACTTAACAAATTTAACAGTATAAAACATTCCAAAATATTATTGCAAAGCCACGTTCAACTTACGGTTTACCGTTGTAGGGTTTTTCATTAATGAAAAATGTTAGGACTACGGCTTTATTTCAAATTAATGAATAAAATATTTACCCAGCGTTTCTCAGCATCGTATTTACTCTTCAGCATTCGATCATGAACCAATGAATTATAAATCTCCAACATTTTTAGATATTCACTTAATCGAGTCTTAAGTTTCTCCCCTATTAGCCCTTGTTGGGCAAGTATTTAATTTACAAAAACTTAAAGAGTTCTAATCACTTATTGTTATATATTTTATGATACTCACAAATACTACTTATATATCTCCTTCGTATTGCATCACAACGATTTCTTTGTATAGATTCATTTGCAAGTCGTGTATTTACAAGGCCAACTCTATGGCTTTATACAATTGTGAATATGGAAAATAAGACAAATTAATATAATCCTTACTCATTTCAACCACATTCTTATTATATTGTTTATCATTTTTTTCTAATGACACAATTATATATTTTAATGACTTCACGAGCCTAAACGTCAAAAGTCAAATTTCGAATATATACATATTTTTTCTGTAATGGATGGGATTAAACTCTGACCTTTGACCAGTCTATCTATTTACACTAACCAACTTCCTCCTCTTGGGTTCCAAGAATTCGAGCAGAACTTCATAGAGATCTCAGAGAAATGAAATATATTCAAAACACTTGGTCGACCGCAAAGGACAAGGTGGTTACTCATTGACAGAGAACCAAATGGAGCATTTGGAAACTTGAGAAGAAAATAAGTATATCTTCATAAGTAACTTGCCCGGATGTCATTAACTAATTTAAGGAAATTCCATCATTTCCACGGTCCACATGACACTCAGTTAAAGATTAATTAACTAATCTTAACTAATCTCAATCTCACACCATTAATTGCAATTTTAGATTAATTATGTAGTAAAGAAGATACTTCATATCCATTTTCGGGCAATGCGGTTTTTAATTAAGATTGCTTATAATTTAAAATTCTAGCCTGATAGCATATTATCAACTAGTGTATTTGACTTGTTTCGTGGCTACTGGTAATAAACATTAAGATCCTAGTGGGTAAATGTAGTAGACTTATGTAAGTTAAATATGAGTTAGCCAGGCTGTTTGTTACATTAAAAAATTGTATCACTGTCTGAAATGATTGGATGAAAGCACTATATAAAGGGTTGTTATGTCTCCAAAAATAATCCAAGATACAAATATCATTACTTTCTCACAAGTTTTCTGCTCCTGAGAGTGCTACAGAAAATGAAATCTCGAGGGAGGTTGCGCCAAGGGTGCTCCCTTGCCTAGGCAATGGTGTTTTGCTTGATAGCCACCAGCGTAGTTGCAGATAAACCTTATATACATGCATCCCCGCCACCACCATATATTCACAAGTCGCCCCCACTACCTTATTTATATAAATCCCCACCTCCTCCATCTCCACCACCACCATCTCCATCACCACCACCTCCTTATGTGTACAAGTCGCCACCTCCTTCATCTCCATCACCACCACCTCCCTATGTGTACAAGTCGCCACCACCTCTGTCTCCATCACCAACACCAACCTATGTTTACAAGTCCCCACCTCCTCCGTCTCCATCACCGCCGCCACCATCTATTTACAAATCCCCACCTCCTCCATCTCCATCACCGCCGCCACCATCTATTTACAAATCCCCACCTCCTCCATCCCCCTCTCCACCACCTCCCTATGTTTACAAGTCCCCGCCTCCACCATCTCCATCGCCACCACCTCCGTATGTTTACAAGTTGCCACCTCCTCCACCTCCATCACCACCGTCTCCGTATGTTTACAAGTCCCCACATCCTCTGTCTCCATCGCCCCCACCTCCCTATGTTTATAAGTCGTCGCCTCCACCATCTCCATCACCACCACCACCACCTCCATATGTTTACAAGTCACCACCTCCTCCGTCTCCATTACCACCACCTCCCCATGTTTACAAGTCCCCACCTCCTCCGTCTCCATCGCCCCCACCTCCCTATGTTTACAAGTCGCCGCCTCCACCATCTCCATCACCACCACCTCCGTATGTTTATAAGTCGCCACCTCCTCCGTCTCTATCACCATCGCCTCCTTACATCTATAAATTCCCACCTCCACCATCTCCATCACCACCACCACGCTACATTTATTAGTTATATATTTATGGTATAAATATAAAATGTGAAAGAAATAATTAAATTAGATAAAGTGCCAAAGTGGTGGGAAACGTGGTATCTGTATGGGACGTCAGGGGTTCGAGTCACTCCCCACGTAGATATTAAAATGTCTTGATTTAATGGGTAAAACTAGCTAGTATTTTCTGACTGTTTGTTTTTGTAACAACCCACTAACAATCATTAAAATTCCCACTACTCAGTTATTAAAATTCTGAATTAATCTCTGATCATGGTGGAGACTGTTACTTCCATCCTGCATGTATAAATCCATATCTTGTTTTGGGAAAAATACACACAAAAAAGAATATAGAAAAATCCTCTTGTATCAATCCTTCATTCTCATATTCTGAATTTCTTATACTCGGGTTTTTACATATATTCTAGAGTACAATTGAGAGTTCTGGAAAAATCATTCGTGATTGCTGCACAAGTGGTTTACGATCGTTGTATCCTGGGAGTGATTGTCCACGGAGGTCGCAGCAATTATTAACGGACAATTTCACTTTAGGATATCGTGCTGTCACGAGACTCGATCGGACGATAAATTTTATATTTCTACATTTTATAGTTCTGAACATTACTGCAACTAATTATTTTTTCCAACAATCTAAAGTGAAATTATCTTTATAATTAGTTGCCATGTCTGCCGTAGATATATCTGTTCCTAAGTATTCTAAAAAGCCTGAGTTGTTTGATGGAAAGAATTTTAAGAGATGGCAAATGAAACTGCGATTTTATTTGACAACACTTAAAGTCGTTGATGCTATTGAATCAGATAAACCCAGTTTTGCAATTGCTGATAATCCTACTGATAAGGAAACAGAGGATTTAGCTAATTGGGAACATAAGGATTATATGTGCAGGAATTATATTCTGAATTGTTTGACTTTAGATCTATATGATGTTTACTACTCGTTTAAATCTGTAAAAGAGTTATGGAATTTATTAGAAAAGAAATATGCTACAGAAGATGCTGGAACCAAGAAATTTGTTGTGGGAAAGTTTTTAGATTTTAAAATGAATGATGTTAGAACTGTGGTCAGTCAAGTTAAAGAATTGCAGATTATAATTCACGAAATTTTTGCTGAAGTATATAAAATCTGTGAGGGCTTTCAAGTGTCAGCTATAATTAAAAATTGCCACCTTCTTAGAAAGAGTATAAAAATAGTTTGAAGCATAAGAGAAAAGAAATGTCATTAGAGGATCTGATTATTAGGATTAGAATCGAGGAGGACAATAGAATGGCAGAACGTAAAGAAAAGCCAGACTTTGATACCAAGGCTAATATTATTGAAGGAAGTTCTAGGATTAAGAATCCAATTCGAAATTTTACAAGGGTTTAGAATTTTAAAGGCAGAAATAAGGGAAAACAATTTGTAAGAAAGAATAATCGGTCTAAGCCCTAGTTTAAAAATAAAATTATTGGTGATTGTTTTGTTTGTGGTAAACCAGGTTACCTTGCAAAGGATTGCAGAAATAGGAAAGGAAAAGTTGTGAAGCATCAGGCACATGTGATAGAGGATGGGAATATCTCTGCTATGGTGACAGAAGTGAATCTAGTAAGCAACATGACAGACTGGTGGGTAGACTCTGGAGCTACCAAGCATATTTGCTGTACGAGAGGTGCATTTTCTTCATTCACTCTCGCTAGTGATGGAGAATGTCTGTTCATGGGGAATGCTTCCTCCTCCAAAATCGGGAGGAAAGGAACTGTGACGCTTAGATTTACTTCTGGAAATATCCTTAATTTGAAGGATGCCCTTTATGTACCTGATATTAGGAAAAATCTAGTGTCTGAATCTATCTTAGTCAAAAAGGGTTTTAAGATTGTATTTGAAAGTGGTCAAGTTGTACTGTCTAAGGGTGGTTCCTTTGTTGGGAAAGGGTATGCAAATGAGAGTCTGTTTAAACTCAATGTCTCTATGATTAACAATAAAGCATCTAACTCTTCCATTTACTTGTTGGATTCTTATGATTTGTGGCATGCTAGACTTAGACATGTCAATAAAACTTCTATTAAAAAATTAATGAATTTGAGAAACATTCCCAAAATCGATAATTGTTCAAATTCAAAATGTGAAACGTGGGTTGAATCTAAGTATTCTAAAAAATCATTTCCTCGTGTTGATAGGACTACTTCGATCTTAAGTTTGATACTTTCTGATTTATGTAACTTAAAAGGATATGTTACTCGTGGTAGGAATAAATATTTCTTAACTTTCATTGATGATTGTTTTCGATATTGTTATATTTATCTACTTAAGAGCAAGGATGAAAGCTATTCAAAATTTATTTCCTATAAAACTGAAGTAAAGTTTTAAGATCTAATAGAGGAGGAGAATATACAGGAGATTTTGATAAATTTTGTGTTGAGAATGGTATTATTCATGAGACTACTCTACCTTATTCTTCCCAATTTAATGGTGTAGCTGAAAAGAAAAATCGAACCCTTAAGGATATGGTCATCTCAATGCTAAGCTCTTCTGAATTACCTTTTAACATGTGGGGGGAAGCACTTCTTATTGCATGTTATATTCTTAACAGAATTTCTAGTAAGAAAAATAATAGGTGTCCTTATGAAATGTGGAAGGGCAGAATACTTTCATATAAATATCTTAAAGTGTGGGGGTGTTTAGCGAAAACTTCTATTCCAGCACCTAAAAGAACTAAACTTGGTCCGAAAACTGTTGATTGTGTTTCTATAGGCTATGCTTTTCATAGTAATGCCTACAGATTTTTAGTCATTGACTCTAAAAATAATTTGATTGAAAAGAACACAATATTTGAAACTAGAGATGCTAAATTTTTTGAAAATAGATTTTCGTTTAAAGAAAAGTCTGAAGGATCAAGCAATTTTTTTAGTATTCCTCCTAGTGTTAGAGAGGAGACATCTGAATTAAAAGAAGCTGAAATTAGGAGAAGCAAAAGACCTAGGACCACTACTTCTTTCGGTCCTGACTTTATAACCTACTTAATAGAGGATGATCCTAGTACTTTTGGTGAAGCTATGTTTTCACCAAATTCTATATTTTGAAAGGAAGCTATAAATAGTGAATATGATTCAATTGTGTCTAATAATACTTGGGAGTTAGTGGACTTACCTCAAGGATGTAAGACAATTGGGTGTAGATGGATGTTTAAGAAAAAATTTAAACCTGATGGCTCAATTGATAAGTATAAAGCAAGACTTGTAGCTAAAGGCTATAAACAAATAGAAGGAGTTGACTTCTTTAATACTTATTCACCCGTTACTAGGATTACCTCTATTAGGATGTTAATTGCAATTGTCTCACTGTATGATCTTATTATACATCAAATGGATGTTAAGATTGCATTTTTAAATGGAGACTTAAAAGAGGAGATCTATATGGATCAGCTTGAAGGATTTGTTGTAGAAGGTCTTGAGGATAAAGTTTGTAGACTTAAAAAATTCCTTTATAACCTTAAACAAGCTCCTAAGCAATGACATGAAAATTTTGATACAGTTTTAACATCAAGTGGTCATGTGATAAATGAAGCAGATAAATGCATATATAGCAAATTTGAAAATAATTGTGGTGTGATAATTTGCTTATATGTTGATGATATGCTGATTATGGGAACTAGTTTAAATGTGGTTAATAAAACTAAACAGTTTCTGAACAAGCACTTTGAAATGAAAGATTTGGGTGTTGCTGATGTTATTCTAGGAATCAAAATAGTAAAACATTATGAAGGAATTATTTTGATCCAATCACATTATGTAGAAAATGTGCTTAAGAAGTTTAATCAATACAACTGTATTCCTGCTAAAACACCTTATGATGCAAGCTGTCATTTGAGAAAACATTCAGGTCCTAGTGTTTCCGCTTTAGAGTATGCTAAAGTAATCGACAGTCTCATGTATCTCATGAACTATACAAGATTTGATATAGCATATGCTGTCGGTAGACTTAGCAGGTATACTAGTAATCTTAACAATGAACATTGGGATGCTCTCATTCGAGTCTTGAGATATTTGAGATACACTCTAGACTGGGGAATACATTACACCAAATTCCCTGCTATACTTGAGGGATATTGTGATGCTAATTGAATTTCCGATACCAATGAAAGTAAATCTACAAGTGGATATGTATTTACATTAGCAGGCAGTGTTGTCTCCTGGAAATCCACTAAGCAAACCTGCATTGCTAGATCTACTATAGAATCTGAGTTCATAGCTTTAGATAAGGCAGGTAAGGAGGCTGAATGGTTAAGGAATTTTCTTATGGATGTTTCTTTGTGGTCTAAACCATTTCTAACTATTTCAATACATTGTGACAATCAAGCAACTATCTCAAGAACTCAAAATTCATCCTACAATGGAAAGTCTAGACATATTCGTAGGAGGCACAATATTGTGCGTCAGCTGCTTAAGGATGGGATTATAGCTATTGACTATGTGAAGTCAAGTGATTATATTGCAAACCCATTAACCAAAGGATTGGCTAGAGAGCTAATTCAACAAACATCGAGGGGGATGGGGCTAAAGCCTATTATTTATTAGATCACCTATAATGGAAACCTAACCTTGCAATTGGAGATCCCATGGTCAAGGTTCAATGGGACAACAAAGTTATTGGAGTGGTTTGTGGGGGTACTACATTGGATTTATTCCAAACCCCCCTCTATGATGCATATTACCAACTGTATTGATTAGAGGATGAGCTAATGCTCTTAATGCTTACTATAGCTGATATTCAGTGGGGCGTTTATATACAGTGCACCCTTGATAATAGCACCTATTTGAGAGTGGAAGTGGGGTCGCTTCCTATGAGAATTGAGGCTAATTCTCTAGAGCACTCAAAGAAACCAGGAAAGTTCACTGCCGAAATGAACACAACCGCGAGAACTCAATGACTATTCTAGAAATTATGTGTGTGTTCTATTGTCTCAGTTTGCAACTATAATTGTAGAGTTCAAGACATAGTTCACTCTACAGTTAGTAAGCTCGA